TATGCGCTTGACAAGGGATGCATAAATACATTATCTCTTATATACATACTTTTCAGTATAATTTGTGATGAAGCTCTTTTCCGTCTGAAACCAGTAAGATCGGACCATTACGCGATGGAAATAAGAAATTCCTTCCACTTCAGTTTTCTAATAAAGGAATCGGTGCTATCAACATCAGCAACGTTCCTCATCACATAGAGGTAACATTCAAAATTCCATTTTATTTTCAAAATCAGTCTGTTCCTATTGTATCTAACAGTTACACCAAAACCATTGCATCTAAAGTATTCAACTATAAGTAAGCATTGCAGGACCTTGATTCAAAAGAATACCTAAAACAAAAAACCTCTGACATAAGAATGTTCCCAAAAGCCTTATATTAACAACCCCTCTAGCCATGTCATTACTGAGGATCTAAACATAATTCAACATGAACATCTCCAAAAGGTGATATCTCATGGTCCTAAGTTTACAGAACCCAAGCACATCAATTGGAACCATAAGCTCAATTGATTATGGACTCCATTGAGGACTACGCCAAAGCATGGGCTAAACAAGAAGAATTTGAACTGGACACTTTGTCAGAATTGGTTAAAGCTATCAGGTCTCGGATAAAACGTTGAATCCATAAGTTGAAAAACTGTGTAAATGATCGTAAAAGTCCGTATTCAGAGACAAAGAAGCTGTGCAATGTCTATCATTTTCTCGCGATAAATATGTTGTTGCTCCTGCGGACAAAGCTTCACATAATATTGCTTTTGTATGGTAATCGTACTTCTACGAGTGTATTGTAAAAGCATTGGGAATAAATGAACACAAAAGTAATACCACATACAAGAACATATCATTTGACAAGGATGACATTTTGGCCAATCATAAGTCCTTCATGGCTTCAACGAACATATGAACATTACATTTAACAGCAAATCTGAAGACTTACCTTGTTTGTATTGGATACCTATAACAAAATTCAGTACACACAACCGTACATTGCCGGCTCATCGGCTTGTTCTACAAAGGAATTGTCCATTAAATTGACAAACATTCTGTCCGAAATGAAAGAAAGTCTTTAGGAATACCTGAAGCTGTTTACTTGCGAAGTGGGATTAACTACTAGTATATATGGATTCTGAAAAACCTCTTCAAGAACTTCTGGATAATCTTAAATCTCGATCTTTCTCTGAAATTAATTCCTTCAAAACCTTTGATTTTTCAACCCTTTTTACCACTATTCCCCATGTCAAATTTAAAAATCGTCTAAAAGAATTAATCCACAATGCTTTCCAATTTAAAAAGGGTAACAGACTAGTACGCTATAAATTTATTGCTTTGGAATACCATTCGACATATTTTGTTAAAAGCGACCAAAAAGGAAAACATGCTACACAGTGGAACAAATGATCAGTATGCTGGAGTTTCTTATTGACAACATATTTTTTAAATTTGGAGGTAGACTTTTTCAAAACATTGTCGGCATTCCTATGGGAACGAACTGTGCGCCTCATCTTGCCGACCTCTTCTCATTTTCATATGAGTCGGAGTTCCTTCAGACACTTGTCAAAAACAAGAAGATCAAAGAAGCCAGATCATTTAATTTCTCATTCAGATACATTAATGATTATAAAAATCCGAAGATGTGGTATGATTATCAATGACACAACGCCACAAGAGACCAAATGACACAGAAATTAACAACTATAGGTCATTGTACCACCTTCAACAATGAATAAAAACCATACCGCATAGTCAGCTGTAAAAGGCCACAAAATGACAAATGTAAAATGTTCTTTCCATTAACAATAAAAACTTTTGTGATAGGGTTCTATTAATATATCCTCCAGAACTAGAATTTAAAGAAACAACAGATATGGCTTCCACCGCCTCATTTTAAGACTTATAATACCTGGAACATAAGCGGTCATCTCAGTAAAAATATCTATGACAAACGAGACGTTTTTAATTTTGAAATTATAAATTTTCCAAAACTTTTCAGCACTATATACCAACTTCACCTGCATATGGGATATACATTTCCCAACTCATTCGGTATTCAAGAGCTTACAGCTGCTACTGAGAGACTTTATAAAACGTCACTAGTGTATGAGCAGGAAGTTGATGAACCAGGGTTATATCAAAGAACGTCTCGTTAATTACGTGTTATAGTGTTGTTTTTATTTGTCTTTGTATATTTTTAACCTTTACTGTTTAGTCCATTTTTGGAAATTAATTTTTTGGCGTGGCTCGGTATTTATACATCCCGCCCTTGTGTTATTGTTATATGGTTATTTGTTGTATTCTTGTCTTTCAGTTTTGCTTATGTGCTTTGTCTATAGAGTGTCTACATGCCATTTTTTTGTTTTTGTTGACATAGTTGTTTGTTTTTTATAGTGATTAAGATAATAACACAATGTTGACTGCTGTACCTCAATTTTTGACATTTTTACCTATTATGTCTGTTTGTTTTGATCACACATGGTTGTAAATACAATGTTATTTTACGCGACTGTCATACAAGTGAGAGGTTTAGCTTACTATAAAACCATGTTTTATCCACCATTTTCTACATAAGGAAATGCCTGCCCAAGTCAGGAATATGACACTTGTTTTCCATTCGTTTGATGTATTTGAGCTTTTGATTTTGCCATTTATTAAGGGAATTTTCGTTTTAAAAATTCCTTGGAGTTCGGTATTTTGTTGTTTTACTTTGTCCTATTTTCCCCTGACATATGCATGTTATGATTTGCTGTGTTTTTTCACAATTAAATTGTTCGTTTTCCAAATTTTTGTAAATAAGAATATAGATGTGTTTGTTTCTAGATGTTTGACTTAGTACAGTTGTTAAGGTTTAGTTATTGAAGTTGTTTTTTAAATCTGGTTGAGTTTTTCGAATTGACGAATTTTAAACCACATTGAAACACATCCGAATTAATCCGGAAAATGATGGCAGCCTGATTCCATAAAGTTAGAACAGATAAAGTACCATTGATCGTGTTATAAAGGCTATACATGTACAAGAAGAATACATTTTTATACATTTGAATTAGGGAAAAAACAATACTCTACGTTCCGCGGATGAACCAACTTGTGTTACACATGCCCCCATGTCATTACCATTAGACTGGTCTATATGTTTATTCTGCAGACAAAATTCATACAAACGAGATAATAGTTAAATCTTTAAATGTTTTTTTATTGGTATTAACATTTATTTTGTTTATGAAAGTTAAAACATAACTAAATATGTATTGCTATATGTGTACAGTTATGAGTACTCTAGATCCTACATCCTGTCAATACTGTTCACTTAAATTTTTGTTCAACAGGTCTACAGTGCATATTTGTATCTAAGATTATGGTGTCCGTTCAGAAACATGCACTTTACTATTGTATTTCTGATGTTTCTGATTTTTTTTTCATCTTGTGTTCACAACATTATTATATGTTTTGTTTTGTTTTCCATCTAGTGTAACATTATTTAATTTTATACATTCTACTTCTGTATCACACATAAGAAATGTTCTTATTTGAATTACGAAACGGATTAATACAAGTTAACAGCTTGTTTCCGAATCCTATTAATCAATTATATATTAATTCAGTTGTATTAATATGTTACTGCAAAATTGTGTATATTATTTAACTTGAATTTAATTAATAAAATATGTTTACACTACATTTTTGGCATAGCACAATGTCCTGCGTATCTCATGACGTCTTTACACTAATACATAAATGGTACAAATTTTATTCATTTCGACAATGAATGTCTCTTCAGTGATGCTCAAGGCTAAACTATTTGAATATCCACTTATTTTTAAGTTGTTATTGGCTTTGGATTTGCTTTCAGTAACTACAAGTACTCTTATATTGGTGCCTGGTGTCTATTTACTATATTAGTTTTTCGTGATTTCGTACCGATCTATCGAATTAAGCTATTTGCAATTGATTTTTTCAGTTTGCTGTTACATGTATGTTGTGCTGTTACACCACTTTCCCAGGTTAAGAGGAGGGTTGAGCGATCATGAAAATGTTTAGCCCCGCCACATTCTTAATGTGCTTATCCAAAGTCAAGAGCCTGTAGTTCAGTTGTTGTCGTTGGTTCATGTCTGTCATTTATCTGTTTCCATAAATTGTATTGTTATGAAAAAAAACTGTTTTTCACGTCGGAGCCTTTTATTGTTGACGTTTGTCTCATTGTTGATGGCCGCACGGTGACCTATTATTGCTTAACTCGTCGTCGTTTAAAATTAAGTGGATAGTAAATTTCGTCGTGTGGATCTTATAATGATGTATATCCAATTTGGTAAAAGTGGTAAAAATTTAAATTAAAGTTTAAAAGCGCAATATCATAAATATTTGACTGATATATAAAAAGTTATATATGAATTGAATTTACGTACACGACGGGTAACTCTTTGTTTGAATGTTTTTTTAATAGACAAGCAACGTAGATAAATAAAGCATCCCCTTTTTTGGGAGATAGAACATTTCACTACAAGCAATGTAGTTTTAGAAATTTATCCCTACACTTCCACTGGAGAGAGGCCATGGATTTTCTAACTGTGTAATATCCCCAATTCTGTACTGCTGGATTTGCTAAGAATTGCTCAAACCATGCAAACCATTTAATCCTAGTATCACTCAGATTATTTTGATATCAATTATTTAACAGCAAACATACATGCAAAATAGTAGAGATACACCACTAAAAAGTATTTTTCTCTGAAGTAACTACATTAATAAGCCATTTTTATCCAATGGGAGTTTGTGGATAGAAAAGTGTAGTTCTGACAAAAACTCGCTGTGTGTAGAAATCTCGTATTACAGTACAGGGAGATAGAACATTGCACTGGGATCTCAAATATATCGCTAACTCCATTTTTATCAAAAGTGGACATATAACACTATTAGATTCACAAACGGAAACATGACATTATAAATATGTATTGTTGTAATGTCAAAAGTATATGTAGTAGCAGAATATATATAATTCACATAACTTAAAAAAACTAAACATTTAATGATTTCAGTAGAAGTTTTAACATTTTTTTTCTAATATTTCACTCCTGGGATGAGGCTTTAAATCAGGCGTGATCAGTCAAACTTTTTGATTGACATAATTGAATTAACTGTAAAGTTTTCTTAAGCTGTTTGCCTTGAAAAAAGAATTCGGCTAGTGAAAGCCAGCCTGTATAGGAATCAGAAAACGTTCCTAGGACTTTATACCGAAGGCATTTCTTGTAGTTTGAATAGAATATATTATTATGCTTATAATTTTGTATTATTATGTGCTTGAAGAACTTACATTGTCTATAAGCCATTACACAATAAATCGGCTGATAAATAGTACGACTACACCCGAATCCTATCCCGTGAATATAATGAAAAAGCGGATAAAAAGAAGAGTCCATATTAGAATGTTTTGATCTTGATAACTCATAAGGTGCTTCACTATGGTACAAAAATGAGGAAATAGTTTGTATTTGTCTAAGAAAATTGTTTCCGTTGGTGAAAACATTTAGCAAAAACAGAAAGTAACAACTTTTTCTGTACATCAACCATTCCTTCTATCAGATTGTTGTGTGGTATGTAGTAGTTTGAAAGGACACTGTGCTCTACAAAATAAAACAACCTTTTAATGCATTCTGCATCCATATGTTTATTCTCCGGACATCATTCATACACAACGTGATAATAGTTAAATCTTTAAATGTTTTTTTTATCGGTATTAACATTCATATTGTTTATGAAAATGAAAACATAACTAAATACGTATTATTATATGTGTATAATTATGAGTACTATAGATCCTACATCTTGGCGATACTGTTTACTTAAATTTTTGGCATTGCACAAGGTCATGCGTTTCTAAGACTGATTATGACGTCTTTACACTAATACACAAACGGTACTACTTTTAGATAGATGCGCATTTCGACAATGAATGTTTCTCCGGTAATGCTCGTGGTCAAAACATTTGAATATCCACTGTTGAAGAGCGGAGCAACCCCAAAAAAGACATACAGTATGGTCAAATTTGGACAAGCAATTAGAGCTTTGCATGACGGAAATATATTCCTTAATTTCAATGTTATTATGATGTGCTGTCACACGACTATCCCATGTTGACAGGAGGGTTGATGGCTCATTAAAATGTTTATCCCCGCCACATTCTTTATGTGCTTGTCCTAAGTCAGGAGCCTTCAATTCAGGTGTTTTCGTTGGTTCATGTCTGTCATTTATCTGTTTTCTTAATTTGTATCGTTATTAAGAAAAAAGGCCGTTAGTTTATTCTTTTGAATAGTTTCACATTTTTTACGCCGGAGCCTTTCATAGTTGACTATACGGTATTGGTTTTGCTCATTGTTGAAGGCCGTATGGTGACCTATAATTGCTTAAGTCATCGACATTTTAAATGAAGTGGATAGATAAATTCGTCGTGTGAATGTTATAAAGATGTATTTCCAATACAGGTTATAGTAGTAAAAATTTAAACTAGATTTTAAAAGCGCAATATCATAAATATTTGACTGATACATAATAATTTATGTAAGAATCGAATTAACGTACACAAATAGTAACTCTTTGTTCGATTGTTGTTTTAAAAGACAAGCAACTTAGATAAATAAAGCATCCCCCTTTTTTTTTTAGATTTTCACAACAATGTAGTTTTAGCAATTTAAACCTATACTTTCATTGGAGATAGGCCATGGATTTTCTAACTGTGTGATATCCTCAATTCTGTACTGCTGGATATGCTAAGAATTGCCCGTAGATTGAGTTCAAACCATGCAAACCATTTAATCATAGTACTACTAAGATAATTTTGATGGAAATTATCTTACAGCAAAAATACATGAGAAATAGTGGAGATATACCACTTGAAAAAAAATTTCTCAGATCTAACTACATAAGTAAGCCATTTTAATCCAATGGGAGTGTGGAGATAGAACAGTGTAGTTCTGACAAAAACTCGTAGTATCTCTCGTATTATAATTATATAGGGAGATAAACCATTGCACCTGAATCTCAAATGTAGTGTTATCTCTGTTTTAATCAAAAGTGGACATATAACACTATACAATTCACACGACGAGTTGTCTCATTTACAATAATACCACATAACTTTGTTTTTGTACCGAAGACAAGACATTATAAATGTGTATTGTTGTAATGTCAAAAGTATATGTAGTAACAGAATATATATAATACACAACTTAAAAAACTAAACATTTAATGATTTAAGTAGAAGATCTTACATACATGTTGCATGATATAACAGTTTGTAGAGGACATAAAACATTAGATTAAAAATTAACAGTTAGAAGCATTGGTAAACGTTATTTTAATTCAAATGTTCAAGAAATCAGAAACTAAGCTTAAACCTTTTTTCAAAACAGGCGGTATCGAATCACGCTCGTACTGAAATGGTATATTCTCAAACCAGGGCTGAACCATCTCTCTTGTCACATTTTTTGCAACCCGAATAATTGGCTTGATCTGCTTGCTAAGACAATCCTTGTACATAAAAGGATATTTGCAGTAATAATGAAATATGTCCGTTAATAAAAAACCTGGTATAGTGTCAACAAATTTCATTGCCTTCGATAAATACATCAATGAATTCGTAAATTCGTAGGAAGTTTTACATTGTAAAGTAAAGTCATTCAGTAAGCGAAGAGCTTTCCATTTTTCAATATTGTTCCCTTGGTAATAATGGCATAGAAAAAGTAAATAATACATTTGTATCTGCGGATGAATAATAACCATTTCCTCATCAACACCTGGAAGTTGAATATCTTCAAGAAAAAACATTATATGTGGCTTTGCCTTTGGAGTGAAATAAAATAAATCAGAACATGACTGTTTATACCGCTGAACAAAAGTTAATCCATTTTTTTCTAATATTTCATTTCTGGGATGAGGCTTTAAATCAGGCGTTATTATTTGGTGATCAGTCGAACTTTTTAATTGACATAGTTGAATAAGCTGTAAAGCTTTCTCGCGCTGTTTGCATTGAAAAAAGAATTCGGCAAGTAGAAGCCAGCCGGTATAGGAATCAGAAAACGTCCCTAGAACGGTATACCAAAGGCATTTCTTGTAGTTTGAATAGAATATTTTATTATGCTTAAAATTTTGTAATTGTGTATCATTATCTTGCCATAACATTAATGGATAATGTTTTGCTAAAGATCCGCAGAGTTTTGAAAACCAAATGAAGCATATGTGCTTTAAGAGCTTACATTTTCTATGAGACATTATACAATAAATCGGCTGATATATGGTATGACTCCCCCCAAATCCTATCCCGTGCAAATAATGTTAAAGCGGATAAATGGCAGAGTCTAAATTAGAATGTTTTGATCTTGATAAGTCATAAGGTGCTTCACTATGGTAAAAAAAATGAGGAAATAGTTTGTATTTGCCTTAAAAAATTGTTTCCGTTGGCGAAAACATTTCGCCAAACTGAAAGTAACGATTTTTTCTGTATATCAGTCATTCCTTCTATCAGATTGTTATGTGGTATGAAGTAATTTGGAATGACATTGTGTTGTACAAAATAAAACAGCCTTTTTATGCATGCTTGAAAGCATTCAAACAATCTATAAGGTTGCCATTCAGATATCTGAGATTCTTCAATCATCCAGAATAATACCGTTTTCATAAAGTATGAGCATAAGGTTCCTTTAATTTTTCGGTGGATTACTTCTTTTAATGTATATTTTAGCAATGCATAACACAAAATTTGTGTATGATTAAATGAATGAACAAGCATTTTCTCCGCAACTGAGAAAGACATTCTCCATTCGTAAGGATTGTCCTTTTTATTATTAAATTTACTTCCAATAGGAGCAAGTAAGACATCATCTCGTACTACATCTTCAATCAGTTCTGTTGGGGGCCATTGGTATTTGCGAGATCTTGTTATCCACTCTGTCGCTAATATCGGCCACGAATGACATTTTTAAGTTGATAAGAAATCATACGACCCGCAAATAGTAGAAGAACAAGGACCATGTAACTCCCAAAATGGCCCCAAGATATTACTTCTACAATCTGGAATATTCATATTTTGTATAAACCGTTTGTAGTGTTCATTTGATAACAATGTATGGTTTTCAGATTGTGTTTCATTTCTATTACCCAGCTGTAACTTAATATTAATGTACCCCGGTGGTGTATTTTGGAAATCTAAATAAAGCCCATACGGCAAGTCACTTGGTATTTCAGATTTTGTATTGTATACTGTGTCACTCTGGTTGATATACATAATATCCAAGTCGCTTCCTGGTAAGTCTAAGCCTTCTGATTTACTTCCACTAGTCACTACTCGCCACTCCAGACTGTACTGTAAAGCATGATCTAACACTTTAAAGAATATCCTTCGTGCTCGGACGTCTTTTTCAGAGCCAACAATTTTGCAAAGAAAATCAAATAGTTCAAGCGAAAAATTCGACTCTAGCGTCTCAGATGAAAATTCCATTTCTACAAAAATAAGTCATAGCATGATAACTTTCATAAGAAAATAACATCAATTTTACTTTAGAACGGCCGCTTTTTATGGGCATGAAATACAGAAAAAGTGTTTAGACCTGTTATTTGTTTTCTAAGATTTGAATATGATACAGAGTGATAGAAGCATGTTTTCATTTACCTGTGTTTAAAGTAATTGCAAATGGCTGATATTTTTGTTCAAGGATATTGTTTTTCTTAAATTATTTTACATGTCACAGCGGTATAACATGTTACTTCAATTATTCTTCCCTTAGTTTATTTATTTTGTATTAACATTGTATCATAGATCAAATTTATTTGTTCAGTGTATGTTCACTGGTGTTAATATGTCTTTTGATTGAGTTAAGTCATTTCAATTGATATTTTATAGTGTGTCTTTCTATGTAGTGATGTTACACTATTGTTTCAGATAAGGGTGAAGGTTTGGTACCATTAAAACGTTAAAACCCACTGCAATTGTTTGCACTTGTCCTAAGTCAGGAATCTGATGTTCAGTAGTTGTCGTTTGTTGATGAGGTTCATGAGTGTTTCTCGTTTCTCGTTTTTTATGTAGATTAGACCGTTGGTTTTCCCATTTGAATGGTTTTACGCTAGTAATTTTTGGGGCCCTTTATAGCTTGCTGTTCGGTGTGAGCCAAGGCTCCGTGTTGAAGACCGTACTTTGACCTATAATGGTTTACTTTTATTACAGCTCTTCTATAAAAGCATGCAAAGCAAACCTTTGATCAACTTGCTTTCTATGTTTGCTTGGATGTTTGCAAACAATAGGTAGGCGGAGTTTCAGTCTGTTTTGTATATACTGGAATTTGATTAGACAATACAAATTGACATGCAATGAAGTTAATTTTTATTGTCCAATCAAATTCCGGTATATAGTAAACAGACTGAAACAGACTACTTACCTTTTGTTTACAAACATTCAAGCAAACATAGCAAGCAAGTTGATCAAAGGTTTGCTTTGCATGCTTTTATAGAAGAGCTGTAATTTTGCATTGGATGGAGAGTTGTCTCATTGGCATTCATACCACATCTTCTTATATCTATATAATAATAAACAGGTGCGTTTTTATCACATAACATCACCGAACACCACCGAACTACCTTAATATACCATAGAACACCAACAAAAATAAACATCTTTTCGGGTGTATGTTTACTATTTAGATAACTTTAAAATCATTCGAAATACTAAGGTTTGTCTACCACCATGGATATATGGCCTTAGCCAGACTAAGCATAATGTTTTAGAATTACTTAAGGTTTTAATGATCTTTAACTTTGTCATTGATTTGGCTTTATTCTAGCCGATGATGAGTCTTGTGTAGACGAAACACACGCCTAACATACAAAATTATAAGCGTGGTAACTTTGATGAGTTTATACTTCAATATGCATATTTTTGTTAATTTAAATTTGGAAAATTGTTAAAATATTTAATACTGATTGACCTGTCAACTAAATAAGTGTTGGTTTGTATGGTTTTATTGTTGTTTTTTTTTTACTTATTCCAAAGTAGCCTCCGAACTAGGCTTGAACGAAAATTGATTTTCAAGAATTAGTTTCCATAACATGTACAATTTCTTACATTTTGATGTCTTTAGAAGGAATTTCACCATCGTAATTTACTATTATTAAAACAAAAATATCAAAGTGTACAAATAGTTTGATGTTCAAATATCTTCTCTGTAAGTTTTGACAGGCTAGTGACACAGTCGTTCGACTACTTAGACCACCGGGTAAAATGAAATGCTATGCATAAAATAAATACAAAATATTCGATGAAACTGTCACTTACTTTAATTCCTGTATGAATAAAACTTTCATATACTGCTTTGTTTAGTGTGACAAATAAATGATTCTGCATTTATATAACCACGTACCTTCCGTGTTTTCATAACATTCCCAAATTTCATTTTTCATTGTGGTCCAATTTAAATAGAATATCTGTCATGTGATGTTAACTTTAATAGTTATTATTCAATTAGAACATTATTTACAAAACAAAATGTAAAGGAAGCAGACATGACTTAGAAGGGTTGAATAATTAACTTAATATGTGTCTTTTGTTCACATCATTTGTGCTGAAAATAGTATAATGCAATTCATAAGGAAATTTTTGAAAATTGGTTTTTACTTTATCTGAGCATTTAAACCCGGAATTCTTCCGCAATATTGGCAGCCCGACAATACATTTAATTCCTTAATATCAATACCTTATTTCCCCTGTAACTGCCTCGGTGTTCTCGTTATAGCAAGCGCGACTCGAGTGCAGGAAGTCATTGGTTCGGTCAGCGGCCTGGTAAAACTAAAGACTTAAAAACTAATATTTGCTGCTAATCCGTTTTGCTTATCGTGTCGATTCCGAGTGAGAACAATTTATTTTGTATAGGTTGACATGTCATCCTTTTGACAGTTACACTGTGAACTAGAACGTTATCTTGTTTGTCTAATACAAAGCAAGTGAGTTCATATCATATGACATTAACATGTTCTCGTCTCATATACGTGGCATATATACCGAAATTGTTTGTTTTATTTATCAAGATAGATTACTTAGTTGTGTGGCAATGTAGAAAATAAAAAAAATATTATAAAAATAATGACGACTTGGGACAGTAATGTAAACATGATAACAGCAATTCACTGAACGCCGCACTGGTTATACAACTTATAATGATCGGTTCTATTGGTAAAGTAATTAATGTCATTTTAATTTGTATTTTATTTTCTTCTTTCCCGTCGTAGTAGTTCCTTGTCACTCGGTATACCTTCCTTTTCATATTTCCTCTAATTGTTTTAAGATGCATCAAGATACAAATAATTAAAATCACAGAAGAAAATTTTCACTCGTCTTTGAACTTTGCATGACATTTGTCATTTTATTGGACTTTTTATTTTCGGAAGTAAACGATCAATATAGTAATATTCGTTCATTGTCAAGTTGGCTTAAGTTGTCTTGTTGAACTGGAACAATAATATATTATAATATTAAAATGGTATTATTATTGGAATAAAGATTAAAGACGACAGTAGTTTATCGGTGTTCAAATACTGCGACCAATCAAAGTAACAAACTAAAATTGAGAAAATCGCAAGTACTCAAAAATGAGCAAAACAGTCCACATGGAAAAACTTATTTGTCTGAAGAAGTCTATTTATAACTTTCACAGATAAAACATTATTTGAAATAATGTGAAAATAGGTCATTGCAACAACTTTTCAAATGAACAACCAGTTGTTGGCATGACACGGGTTATGTTCTCATATATGTTATGATGGTATGATACTAAACCCCTAACGGGAAGGATTGTGCCTGATATTCATATGATGAAGACATAATCTTTCAATCAGTTTAATTGAAGTCTGGAGCTGGCATGTCAGTTAACTGCTAGTACTCTTTTGTTATTTATGTATTATTGTCATTTTGTTTATTTTCTTTTGTTACATCTTCTGACATCAGACTCGGACTTCTCTTGAACTGAATTTTAATGTGCGTATTGTTATGCGTTTACTTTTCTACATTGGCTAGAGGTATAGGGGGAGGGTTGAGATCTCATAAACATGTTTAACCCCGCCGCATTTTTGCGCCTGTCCCAAGTCAGGAGCCTCTAGCCTTTGTCAGTCTTGTATTATTTTTAATTTTAGTTTCTTGTGTACAATTTGGAGTTTAGTATGGCGTTCATTATCACTGAACTAGTATATATATTTGTTTAGGGGCCAGCTGAAGGACGCCTCCGGGTGCGGGAATTTCTCGCTGCATTGAAGACCTGTTGGTGACCTTCTGCTGTTGTCTGTTCTATGGTCGGGTTGTTGTCTCTTTGACACATTCCCCATTTCCATTCTCAATTTTAACTGTATGCTTTTATAAATCATTCTTTTCACTATAGACAGTTCAAATGGAAAACAAATCTTTGTTAGTTATTAGTTACTAGTACTAAGATAAAGCTGTTATTCGGATTCGTAGCCATGTCTATCAATAATGACTAACGAGGATGCAATAACTTAGATTGTGTCATGTCGTGGTTTTAAACACACTGAACAATTTATCGAGTTCACATTTCCACCAGTATTCAGATCTTGAAAATTTACCATGATGTATTTAAACAATTTTTTTTTAAATTCAAAGTTAATTGGTGTAATAAAAGGTTCAAACTTCCTCTAGATTGTTTTAAATGCAATCAAAGGTGTAATAGAAAATAATCAGAAACAAGGATAGATAAAAGATTTCCTAAAGATGAGAAAAAACAGAAAGACGAATAACAGTTCATAAAATAGTACACACCAAACAAATGATCGATCAACATACACAACATCAAAAGCGGGGAAATAACTCATATTTCCCTAAAAGTGTTATCATTTATCATCAAAAAGTTCAGGTTTTGGCAATTAAACTAGAAAAAGACAAAACAGCGATTCATATTACCATACATAGGCAGTGATAAGGTATCAATTTGATGATAGAAAAAATATAGACGCTATCAGATTTCACTCTAAATCCATAACTTCTGAAAGTGTAAATGCAACTGGAAAATTTGAGATCATAACACTATTCCCGTTTTATCAAAACTAATTGATATTTTAGAACAAGAGAAAAGAAAGAAAAAATTATTTATTACTTACATGTAAATCAGATGTAGTCGTCTCATATATTCGTGGCTGACGACACTCAGATATGAGAAGACAACAACTAATACATGTTACGGAAGTGTAAAGTTTCTGGTCAGTTAGAGCTACATGAGCGGGGATGTGTTTACAATTAAAACAGTTTAGAAAACGTTTTTGAATATTTTACCGTTTCTCGGATTGCATATTTGAAACATTTTGGCAGTATAGTTTGTTCCACTTTACTGAGTACTCTCCTTAGTTCACGTGTGTCTATCCATGCATTTGATTATTTCTATTTACCAAGTTAAAAAAAGAAGGAACTGTCATCTGATCAGGACTTGTTTTACAATATAAAGTATTTTATCGATGCTTTTCCGATACTTTCTTTGCATTTATGTATACATTGTAGATCCGTTTCAATTCAAATGTTAGGAACTCTGGAAATTATAAATGGTACAAATTTCACATTTTAGACAATCAGATGCAATTCAACAAGTTCCTTATGTGTTTAAAATTTCACACAAATTCGATATACTGGCGAACTACATATACTTCGCATTAATTTTAGAATTATAGTGGTCAAAGTCGTAACCTTGATCTTTATTGAATAAGACCGTTGTCCATATAGAACTACAAAGGTCTGATAACAGTGATCTTTTGGAAGATCATGTCCAATCTAGAACACGAGCTAAATATTTTCTCAAGCTAATTATTTAATGGGATGTTTAAAAGAACACGTACTTTCGCAAATAAGAACAAAATTACGAGTTCGACAATACAAACTAACAATGTTCGTAAAATCGTCACCAAACCTGAAAAAAGCCAAATATTAAAATGTGAGTTTGATATCAATAATTCAAATTAATAGTCATTTAAGAGTGCACATTTAGATATGAGTTTTGAAAATGATTCTATAAAAAACCAGTTCAAGTGTCTCTGAAAAAGCAAAAAGCAGGATAAGGCATGATAAACAGATCATCTTCTGGGCACTTGGGCTGCCCAAGTACTGCGTCTATTCTAATGGCTACTATAAAACAAGTATAATTAACAGCATTGCAGACGAAAAGCAAATGACCCTCATAACATTAATATATTTGTTCTAGTGTTTAAATCCCAGCAACATAAACATACCATATCGAGGCAACGAACACGAGACTTATAATTATATTATTAATTATTATTATTATGAAAATCAAATTGAAAAGGTTTGGGTTTGAACCTAGTAAAATAGGTGAAGAGTTGACTAGGGTCTCAAAATGTAGTCTGAACATCGGTCACAAACAAACCTATTTATCGAATGGCCTGTGACACTTAGTATTTGAATGTTTTAACTCATTACTGGTGATAAATGTCAACGCATCAATGCTATCGAACTTAAAATAAAGGATACAACTGATACAGTTAAGTCTGCTTCAAAGCTTGACTTACATATAGAAATTTACACGAGGGTCGTTTGAGACCAAACCTTTACGACAAAAGAGCTAATTTCAGATTCCCGATTGTGAACTTCCAATTTTTATGTAGCAACATTCCAGCAAGGCCTGCGTATTGAGAACACATCTCTCCAGTGATACGATATTCCAGGGCTTACACTTCCTATCATGATTTCCTTGTGTGTTCCTCTTCTTGCCGACTTGTTCCTTTATTCATATGAGGCTGACTTGATTTAAGAGCTTCTCAGGAAGAATGAAAAGAAGCTAGCCTCATTCTTTATCTTCACTGTCCGCTCTATAGATGATGTCCTCTCACTAAATAATTCAAAGTTAAGTGACTTTATTGAACAAATCTATCTCATCGAACATGAAAAAAAGGATACAACAGATACAGTTAAATCTGCCTCATATCTTGACTTACATCTAGAAATTGACAATGAAGGTCGGTTAAGAACAAAACTTAACGACAAAGGAGATGATCTCAGCTTCCCAATTGTGAACTTTCTATTTATATGTAGCAACATTCAAGCGGCGCCTGCATATGGAGTATATATCTCCCAGTTGATACGATATTCCAGGGCTTGCATTTCCTTAATAGAAGGTTGCTGCTCACAAGGAAGCTATTACACCAAGAATTCCAAGAGATGAAGTTGAAATGATCTCTTCGAAAGTTTTACGGACACCATTACAAGTTGATGAACCATTATGGAATATCTGTTTCATAGATGAAGTCGGATATGATCCAATTGTGGTAACCACAATCCCGTCCTCTTTTTCCCGAATGTGACCTACCAAATTAGAATTATCACCGGGTATGTACTTAATTGAGCAACACGACGGTTACTACATGTGAAGCAG